CCAAGAATCCCCTTAGGAGAAATCAAGAAAGAAGAAGGCTTAAAGAAAGACCCTTCATAGCCAAGGAATTAATTAAGGCTAAGAGGTAACCCATGTCTCAACAAAACCTATTTTCATAGCTATGATTTCCCTCTTAGGATTTCCCCATATTATTGTGTATTGATGATTTGTGATATTATTATTGATGATTGATGGGATGATTCCATGGGTGATCTTGATGATGAAAGGTTCTTGATAATTATGGTGTTCTTGATGATTATATGACGTTCTTGATGATTATATGATGTTCTTGATGATTGTAGGATGTTCTTGATGTTTATGTGATACTCTTACCGAATCTTGATATTAGAAGATGAATTGTGTCCTTGTTGATTTAAAAATGATTAGAACCCTAGGTTGTATCGTATGGAATTATTCTTGGTATATTGGGTGGGAATTCGCATGATTGGGTGTTGATTATGTTTAGAAAAGCATGATAGGTTATGTGCCATATGCTTCTCGATTTTTGATCCGTTAATTGTCTACGTGTGTTATCAATTGCGTTTGAAAGTGTCTAAGCATGGTTTCGGGTTCCACAAAGGTTCCCGGGGCGTTTTTGGTGAAAAAGAGTCAGTGGGGGGTAGGTGGGGGTAAGGGACCCGCCACCTACCCGCGGCCTTCTTGGGCAACGCCGGCAGCGGGCAGCTGCCCGCCGGGCACCCGCTGCCCGGAATAGCTGCCGCGGGCGGGTGAACCCTCACCCACCAGCTACCCGCTGGTTTGCACCCCAATTTGGGATTTTGGCTTCCCCGTTTGATGTTCCCCCGACCCCCGTGGTGTCCCAACGGACTCCCTCTATCGTGCCTATGTCTAGTTTGATATTTCGGGTACCGTTCGTAGGTTGTATGAGTCGTATATATTGCATGCTAGTTGAATGGGTAGCCCGTTGACCTAGGTGAAAGAAGTATGAACCCCTTAGGATTATTCTTAGTATGTGAAGGATCACGCATAGGTTTTGTTATACGTTTTCTCCCCCCTTCCCAATGTGTTAATGTGGGTTGCATGTGCTTGCTATGTGTTATGTGTGCATGATACCCCAATTCGGTTGTGATCGGATTGGTTATTCCTGAGCTGCGGTTCAGAAGCTGGCTGCGGTAAGATTTACACTCCCGGGCTGCGGTCCACCGTTTGGTTGCGATCAAACGTTTCTACATGAGCTGCGGTTCATATTTCCTGGCTGCGGTCAGATGACATACTCTTGGGCTGCGGTCCACTGTTTGGTTGCGATCAAACTATGATGAGCTGCGGTTCATCGGTCGGTTGCGATCGACCCCTCCGTGTTGCGATACGGGGCAGGGTGATGCGGGGGCCGTGTCAGAGCTATATGCGCTGACCCTCATGTATGGGCATGCGATTGGTCCTGTGGCGCCAACAAAGTGTGCTATGTGATGAGATACGGATGAGTTGTTGTTATGAGTGTCTTGGGGATGTGACTATAGGATTTATACTGGGAATCGTATATGTTGGGTTATGGATATTATCTATGCTTATCTTTATCTGCCTTGCCTGTTTCCCTATGCTTGTGAATTGTTTATGCTCGATTATGTCCGTTGTCTGTGCTAAGCCCTATCTGTTGAGTCTATTCCCTGTTTTGAAAGCTAGAGTCTCTTAGGGTATATCTTCATGCTTCGAAATGGTTTTTCGTATACCTATGTATATACCTATATGTATTGTATTTCAACGCGTTGGAGTGGGTTACCATCATCTCTCGCTGAACAGATATATTTGGCTTTCAGGCACAGACGAGTAGATCACTGGAGCGCGCTAGAGATTCGAGGCATAGTGTAGATAGTTTCCCTTTCGGCCTGCGTGCCATTTACATTATTACGGAATTTAGTTAGTTAGCCTGTGCATCTGAGTTCTCCAGCTCAGGTGTGGCATAGCACCCCGTACCTTTATGTTTAACAATGCTCTGTTTGAGATTTAATAAGAGAATACCTTTATTATATAAGTCTTTAAAAGTTTTAAAATTTTGGGGTGTTACAGGTATTATCCGAATACTACTTTTGTTGATGCTACTATAGGGAATTGCCCAAGTTTTTGCTGGAGGAGTATAATGGCTGCGCATGGAATGGTTTGTTCAGGGGTGAGAAGGCGGATAGGGAATGGTGAAAAAACTTTAATATGGGGTCATCCCTGGTTACCGGATAATCCCAGTCCGTTAGTCCAGACAGAAATGCCGGAGGAGTTGCGACATGCCCAGGTGGCAGGATTGATTGATCAGCAAACTAATACCTGGGACCCTCATATTTTGGCTGATCTATTTATTCCCGAGGATGTGGCGCGAATTTCTATGATTCCTGTCAGCCCTGACTATGAGGACACATGGTATTGGAAGGGGGAAATGAGTGGAATATATTCGGTTAAAAATGCCTATAGACAGATTCAAGGGAATTATGAGCATAACCCAGGTGATTTTGATAAATGGGTTACTTTGTGGAAATTAAAGATACCACCCAAATGGAAGACCTTTTTGTGGAGAGCAGTTTCTGATATCCTCCCTACTACCGATAATCTAATAAGGAGGCGAGTTGAGATTGAGCTGAATTTCCCAATGTGCCGTGTGACGCAAGAAAACGCCATGCACGCGTTAATACTGTGTGATTATTCTAGATTAGTATGGGAATTGTCGGGATTGCCTGTTACTAATATTCTTACTAATTCATTGTCAACATGGCTTATGGGGATTTTTAATGTCTTGACAGAGGAACAGTGTGGTCTAGCTGCGGCTATTCTATACAATATTTGGAGTGCCCGAAATACTGCGGTATGGGAACGTGCCCTCCCGAGACCAAATCAGACTTGGCGCCGGTCGGTGGCAGCCGTTCAGGCCTATCGCCAATCACGACCCACGGTCCCCACATCACTGCCCGCCACGGCAGCCGTAGCCGGACCTGGCAGCGCTCCACGGTGTTACGTCGATGCAGGATACAGATCACATACCGGGGAGGTGACTTATGGAGCAGTACTCATCTCACACCACGGCGTGTTTATTGCAGCAGCAAGTGGAAAGATCTCCGGGGCTCTCTCCGCTACTATGGCCGAAGCGCTCGCTTGCAAGGAGGTACTATCTTGGCTTAAAAATCGGGGTATTACGGAGGTGGACATGTTAACGGATTGCTTGGAATTTCGGAATTATCTACACTCAAGCCGTACGGCTAACTACTCTTACCTTGGGATCATCATCGACCAATGTAGGACCGCTATATCGCTATTTGCAAAATGTTCTTTAAGTTATGTTTCTAGAAATTTAAATTTACATGCCCATACTTTAGCTTCGTTAGCATTCGATCAGGAGCATTCTATGTACTGGGACTCTGTCCCTCCTGACTCTATCATTCAGTTTATTCATTAATATACAGCATTATAAACCTTCAAAAAAAAAAAAATCTATTTGGTTATGTTTAATATTTTGTTATAAATATTTTTATAGCATTCCAAAATGTTTTAAAATTTTGACCCGCTCAAGTATATTTTTGTCTCCGCCCCTAACTATACCATAGTTCATCATAAATATTGTATTGTAATTTATAATGTATTTTATATTTGAACCATATTATCCGTATTTGATATTTTGTCTTGCATATTTTTTAATTCATTTGATCTTTGCCCTCATTCAGAAAAATTTCTAGATCCGCCCATGTTCAAGAATTTATTTAGACAACCAAATAATCGAGACGTAACAGTGAAAAAGAAACGAAAAAGTATTGAAATAATTCAGAAAATTAGATAACAAAATAACAATGGTGGAAAATAGTGCACAACATTCAACTTCCCTTACACAATTACATATACTATCCCATATTCTACTCCGTAGTTTTTTCTTAGAGGTTTAATGCTGATGATAAATATAAAATATTATATTAAATTTATAGTCATAGTATTAATTTTAACTTTTTAGTTGAAATAATGTTGGAATTGTGAAATCTTGTTAAATAATTGATTGAGTTTATAGGTAAGAAATGGACTTTTTTTAACATGTCAAATCAGGTATGAAGAAAAGCACTGGTTTCTCAATCAGTCCAAATTATTTTGGGATAAGTTATTTGACGGGTCAAATAATATACGAAACTTTAATTTAAAAAAATTTAAACATAAAATTCCTTATAATCAATTATTAATCCACTCTCTCGTCCATACCCATATTTAAGGCAATTTATATCCTACACCACGACGCGCATTGCAATATGCGCCCAAATGCAAAACGACGTCGTTTTATTTTTTTATTTTTTTTGAAATTTTCCGTCCCAGTGAATGGCAGTAGTTTTTTCTTTAAAAAAAAAAAACCCGCTGTTCAAGAATGTACATAATGTTATACTAGAATACACATAATTGTATACATGAATGTACATAATTATATAACAAAATATACATACTCTTTTTAAAAGATAATACACATAATCTAACATAATACATAATAAACATAAACTTTTAACATAATACACATCAACTATTAACATAATACACATAAATTTTCTGATTCGGATGTACATAATTGTATAAAAAATGTACATAACTGTATGAACCAATACACATAACTGTATGAACCAATACACATAACTGTATGAACAAATACACATAATCCCAGCAACTTCCTACCGCGCCTCCCAAAACGACATCGTTTTGGGAGGCGCGTAGCGCACAGTGCTATGTACACCGTGGTGTAGGGTATAACAATTGCATATTTAATTGGCAAATTATAACATAGATCAAGGTCCATCTTGTCCATATTTAATTGACAAATTTGCAAACCAATAATTAACAGATTATATGTATATATTCTAGATTATGTAACTCTATTTCTTTTCTTTGTACTACTGACTCTATTACAAATTCTCATTTGAGAAAATCACTTCATAACATTACAAGTTCTCATTTGAGAAAGTCACTTCATAACACTTACCACAAAAGACTTTATATTGGCCATCTTCTCATAATTTACTTACACATAAATTGAGCAATTTTGACAAATTGAAAGGTGAACAGTTTAAATTTCCGCTAATTAAATTCCAAATCAACACTGTTTTTGGTACACCAGAAAATGTGAAAGAAAGAGAACTAAAGTACATCTAAATTAGTTTTGGCGTTTAAATCTCAGCCCACAACATCCAAAATCCAAATGAAGGAGATTCTCAAAGGCTCTCCTCTCAATGGTCTTTCTCCACAATCCTTCCTCCAATGTCCTGTTCTAAATTAGTCATTAGTCGAATGATGATCCCATCACACATTTATTACCCTTTGGAGAAAATATTCCACTTCATAGTATGAAAAATGAATCGTAAGTCGTGGTTACCTAGACCCCATCTTAAACTCTGATCTGTTTATATACATCTCAAAATACTCTATACACTAACACAACCACAAGGGGGGGCAACTTTCTAATTCTACTCAGCGAGTCCCCACATACACATATTACATGTCACCACTTTCTGCAACGTAAAGCTAAAAAGAGCACCAACTTCCCAATGAACCAAAAACTATGAACTACTCTACAACCTGTGGACCTTTGTACTGGATAACATACATTTTTGACTCCTCTGGTATTTCAATCTCCTCCAACCATCCAAACAAGTTACTATCTTCTTCCGCTTCCGAAACTTTTCCACCTGTATTTCAGATCAGATAGCAAATTGGTAAGTAATTGAATATGAAACTTTTTCAGCAACCAAGTAAAGTTAGGATGGGGCAAAACTACTTACTTGATAAAGCATCATAGGGGACGTCCCTGTAATATGAACAGTCACGCCCATCATCTTCGGAATAAGGCGGTCCAATCACATCAAGCACTGCACATGGTGTAATAGCTTTAAATTCATGAATGTTGCCTCCAGATGTAGGATATAAGACGGAAGTGCTGCATGGGGCTGTGAATACTTGGTTCGCTTTCAATCTTGCCAATCTCATTGCTTGCCCGTCTTTATTTGAATCACCTATAAATTAGAGAAACAATAATTGATCATTAGATGAGCTACTGTTTTGTGTGTTTGGGCGAATGCATGGGTTTAGGGTGGGTGTATGTATGGATAGTCACCTATTGCCAACGGCGCGGAGACCTCATCAACCCAGTCATATGCTTTAATGTGCATGTTACCCAGCAGAAGCTTGCTGAAAACTGTCATTCCCGGATGATTGTGTAAAGGTATAACAGCAGTTGTGGGAAGAAAGAAAATGCACAACTGCACAAGACAAGTTAGATGATATTAGGCTGTTTCTTCCTTGCTTTTAATGACAAATAGAATATATAAAATATAGATAGATCCAGTATCATTATATATATATATTATATAGACCACTGTTTATGTGCTTAGTTTCAGACAGAGAGAGAAAGAGAGAGAGAGAGAACATCCTGCCTAACAGAGAATTAAAAAGTTTGGAGATTCCCTTACCGAGAAGTTATCACACCTGTAGATCGTTGTGTTCGTGACTCTCGGATTACCTTCAACCACACCATTAGGATTAAAGAATTGGAGATTGCTACTAAGTCCAACATCTTCTGCCATCATACCATCTAGAAAAGGATAACAAGGGTCATAAGACTAACAGCTATCATTTTCGGGAATTGTTTTTTTTTTTTGTACAATTATTGCAAAGATATTATCGGCTTCATCATTATCCTCACTATTTGCAGTATAAATACATGCATGTTCCCAATGTTTTAATATCATATTTACAGAAGAAGACTTTGTTATAGTATTATTCTCTTTTCTATTCAAGGAAAAACTCTAAAGATCCAAATTTCCAGCAGGATGGAGAAATTCACCACAATAATTTTCTACAAATACTTTAATTGCTTCAGGAAAGACTCCATGATAAATCATTAGTAGATTCATTAACAAGGAATAAACTGGAGCTACCTGATAGTCAAAAGATCAATAAGTCGTTACAGACAAATAACACAAAACAACACCCATATTGACCAAAACCAAATGCTGTCACTGAAATCCTATCCCCAAATCTTCCCCATAAATGCCCTATCAAATCCGTTGCCTGTCTTTTACCACTTTTCAACTTGTTCCACTACAATGCTAAAATTGCTCTATCAAATCTATGGAAAATCATTCCGTCATATATCAACTACAGGTCTGCAGCCAGACCACGACACTTCAACTTAATCAACTAGGGAAATAACCCACGGTGGCCCACAGTTACAATTCAAAAAATTTAAATATTAACTAAAAAGAATAATGGCTATGAGCTGATTGATTGTTTGTTTCTAATGAACTCACTTTTGATTTTAAAGAAAAATGTTCACTTTCAATGAACCAAATATTAACATTATTAAATATTTGCTTTGTATGAACTAATATTTTCACTAAAAAATAAAGTTTCAGATGATTCTTATCTCATTGCATAGTCAGACTCCTCAACTAGAATTCTGCAAAAGGAAGCTATCTGAATACCATTTTCATTACATTCAAATCCAATGATTATTTTGGACGAATTTCTTCAGACATCAAATCCAGCTATTCTTTTGCAACCATTATAGTAATTTATGATTTCAAATGTAATTCAAGAGGTTTTCCCCCTTCTCAAACTTTTAAACGTAATATAATATACAGAATTCGATATTACTGTGAAGCCTCAGTCTCAGTTGTTCCCCCTAATTGTTTATCACTAGTCACTCACTACTTGAGAATCAAATACCAAGAGAAATTTATTGCTCTTCCAAAACCTCTTCATATTCTGGAACGTTAGATTTACAATGACCTCAATATCATAATGGGATAACCGCAGTAATTATGTTATAATATAAATTAATTTCGGATAATTTAGACACTAACCTAGAATCTGGCAAAGCTTCTCCACATCACTTTGGGAAGGCACGGTCCCGGGGCCTTTGAACACTTGGCGGCACGCCAGAAACAGCCTCTGCAGCTGAAAACTCGTTGGAACTTCCCTCTTCACATCACAAGGCCTCTTAGCAGCTTTGGTGTTCCTATATCTCTTCTTCCGTATACCGCCCTTACCGACACCAAAGCCACGCCTCACCGAAGCAGCAGCGGCAGCCTCTCCGGTCGGCTCCAACAACCCCCCTGCAGACGACGCCGCCTCCACCGCCGTCATCGAATTTCACGTCTCTGAAGTGGTGGTGTCTAGATTGTTCTCCGGAATCCGGAAACGGTGCGCAGATCTGAGATAAGGTTAAGAAGAGTGCGATGAGAATGTAGAGGTATACGTATGTGTATATATCTGGGGAGGTGAGAGGAAGAAGAAAGCCAAAACCAGGGGCCATGGAGAGAGAACTGATTTTCCTATTTTTCTTTTTTTCTTTTATTTTTGGTTTTCTGTTTTGTGTTTTTTTATTTTTGGGGGGCTGATTTGTTGATTTCTTCTCTCCAGTCTCCCGCCCGCAAGATTGCGAGGAAATGGAAACTGCTAGTAGTATGAATTGTACTGTACAACACGTGGTCCAATCCAACACTCCCAGCTGGGCTAAATCAAATCAGGATTTCTAAAGCGGTTTTTTATTATATTTTTTATTTTTTTTTTTGGTTTATTTTTTTGGGTATTACTGACTCAATTATAATGTAGTATCTGTTCATAACTACTTTCTCAACCTACCGAAGCACAAAGAGCCAATAGTTCACATCCATTGAAGCTCGAACCCACAACCTCCCACATATGGGAGTAACTTGGTACTAGTGGAAGAAAATCAAATATTTATTATTTGAGTTATTTTAGATTTTTAGGAATATTTCTCTCTCTCTCTCTCTCTCTCTCTCTCTCTATATATATATATATATATATATATATATATATATATATATATATAGAGGTTCCCGTGCGATTGTGTGTGTTAGGTGCAGTTGTGGGTGAGATGTGAGTCATTGATATTGTCAAGATCAATGTTCGCGATTAACAAAATTAAAAAAAAAAAAAAGAAAAGAAAAAAACGCAATGGTTATTTGGTAATTTTTGCATCTAGGTCAAATTTAAGGTGCATGGTTTTCCTTCTTAAGGTGCGTGGTTTTTGTGCTTAAGGTAAATTATTTTTGTGTTGTGTGCTTAAGTTGCGTCAGTTGTTGCAAATTTAAGTGCGTCAATCTAAAGTTTTAGGTGCGTAATTTTCTTTCTTTAAGGTCCGTAGTTTTCATTCTTAAGATGCATGATTTGTATGCTTAAGGTGCGTCAATTGTTGAAACTTAATAAGGTGCGCCATTTTCAAACTTTAGTTGCGTAGTTTGTATTCTTGAGGTGCTTTGTTTGTGTGCTTAAGGTGTGTGATTTGTGTACTTAGGTGCGTCAACCCAAAGCTTTAGGTGCGTGTGGTTTGTGTTCTTAAGGTGCTTTGTTTGTGTGTTTAAGGTGCGTGATTTTCTTTCTTAAGGTGTGTCAGTTGTTGAAACTTAAGGTGCGCCATTTTAAAACTTTAGGTGCGTGGTTTGTGTTCTTAAGGTGCGTCTTTTTTAGTTAATCGCACAACCGCACGGGAAGCTATACCCGCACTTGAACCCTTGCATATATATATATATATATATATATATATATATATATATATATATATATATTGTGAACAAAGAAAATTGAATTATATTATTTAGAAATTCAAAATTCTTGATTCCATATCAAATATCAATGCGGTGTGAGTACAAGTCTCTGGGATGTCCTCTGATTCTTCAATTGATGTCTTGAACACTCCACAATTGAAGGGCCTCCGGGTTTCAAGTGGTCTGATCTTCAAAGAAGGGCTTGAATATATAGCTTGTTCTTCTTGAAGGGCCTCCGGATTCAAATGGCTTGATCTTCAATGGAGGTTTGGATCAATAGGCATAGGCATGATCATTAAGGAGGAGGGACTTCTACTTTCAGTATCACATTTTTATGTGATCCTGAATAATATTTTTCTAGATGTTTACATCACTTTTTCTAGGATATGTGTGATTACATAGAAATGAAATGCACTATTTATAGTTGTAGGATAGAGAGTTTTGATAAGCTCAAACTCTTTTGACATTATCTAATTAACAAATTAGATAATATCAATATTATCCAAAATATTTCAAATATATTCAAATATATAAATATTGATAAATAATCAATATTTATCAAAATTTAAGTGTCTACATATATATATATATATATATATATATATATATATATATATATATATATATATATATATATATATATATATATATATATATATATATATATATATATATATATATATATATATATATATATATATATATATATATATATATTAGTCCCTATTACTAAGAGCCAATAAAGTTAGACTTATAACCGAAACTAAAAATGTCTGTCCAATCAAAGTTCGAACCCCATCCCAATCAAAGTTGACATAATTGTTGAACATATACTATGAATATGTTAGAGTGAAGTAAAAAAAAAAAAAAAAAAACAGTAAAAAATTTAACATGAACTTTGGTCAACTAATTAGCCAGACTATATACATGTAGGGATGTTAACGAACCGAACATAAACGAACGGAGGTTGTTCGTTTCTTAAGGTTTTTGGAGTGTTTGTGTTCGTGTTCGTTTGTTAAGCTTTTTAAAAACCCTATTCGTGTTCGTTTGTTAAGCGTTCATTAGTGTTTGTTAACGTTCGCGAACACGTTCACGAACGTGTTCGTTCACGTTCATAAACACATTCGTGAGTGCTAATTAATAACCAAACATATGAACATATTCATGATCACGATTCATTCGTGAACAAGAAATAATATATGTTCACGAAAAATAACCAAACAAGTAACACAATTATAAAGAGAATACAAACAAATATTAAACAAGTAACACAATTACCAAACGAGCTTGTTCACAAACATTATTAAACGAACACAAACGAACTTGTTCACGATCTCTTAACAAACGAGCTTACTACTGTGCAGACTTTGTTCGTTTATAAACCGAGCTCTAAATTTTGTTTGCTAATGTTCGTTTACCTTAATAAACGAACGCTTACCGAACACGAACACGGGTAGTTTACCGAAAACTCTGTTCGCTAACATCTCTATATACATGGCATTCAAAGTTGAGCATCAAAGATTACAAATAAGAAACCTTAAAAATTATTTTCTTGCATTTTTTAAAAAACAAATCTAAGTTAAGTTTCTTTTTCTTTATTTTTTGTTTAATTAATCTTCTTTTGATTATTTAGAACAAGACTCAATATGATAATTATGCTTTTATAGGTTTAGGATCAGGTGCGCATGCCACTTCCCGTGCGAAAACGCGGTATGTGCACTTGAAGGCTCAAAACCATGCACTTGAAGGTAAAAAATGTGCACTTGAAGGCAAAAAAATTGCATTCGAAGGCAAATAGATGTGCAATTATTGCAATTTATGGTACCAAAAAGGGAGGTTATTCAACTTAAGTGTTATTGAACCAATTACCCATACAAATTGTTTTTAAATCTCACAAATTTCATTAGAAATTTAGTTATATGTTATTGAAAAGAATGCACAAGATATAACAAATACTGCCTAGAATTTGTGCACTTGAAAGCAAAGAAACATGCACTTGAAGGCATAAAACTGTGCATTGAAGGCAAAAAATTTGCACCGAAGGAAAAAAAAGGAGGGGGGGGGGGGGTTCACTTGAATGCTGAGTATTTTTTTTTTACACAATAATAAGACACACATACACTTGTAGGCATTAAATTGAGCACTTAAAGACATACAGAGGATCACAAGAAAGCAAGGGAGAAAAAAAAAAAAAAGGACACTAAAAGGAAAAATTCGAATGAAATTAATTATACACTCTTAGAAAGAAAAACATGCACTTGAAGGCCAAAGATTTGCAGTCAAAAGCACAAAAATGTGCAATCAAATGAGAAACTAAGTACTAAAATAAAACTGATGCACTCGAAGAAGAGAAATATGCACTTGAAGAATGAAAAATGTGCACTCGAATACAAAAGACAAGCTGACTTATTTACTTAAAATTACAAATATGTCACCGCGCGTTTTTTAATTAAAATTAAATTTGGGCTGTTCATTTGGATTGCATCTATGACTGAAAATTGTCTGCAATTTTTACCTGATGAGGCTTTTTTATTTGATTCGCAATAAATATATATATATATATATATATATATATATATATATATATATATATATATATATTTATTGCAAATAATATATATATATATATATATATATATATATATATATATATATATATATATATATATATATATATATATACATACATATATGTACATATACATACATATATGTACATATACATACATATATGTGCATACATATATGTATATATATGTACATATACATACATATATGTATTTATACATACATATATGTATGCATACATACATATATGTATGTATACATACATATATGTATGTATATGTATACATACATATGTATATGTATACATACATATATGTATGTATATGTACATATATGTATGTATATGTATATATACATACATATATGTATGTATACATATATATATATATATATATATATATGTGTGTGTGTGTGTGTGTGTGTGTGTGTGTGTGTGTGTGTGTGTGTACATATATGTATACATATGTGTGTGTGTGTATATATATATATATATATATATATATATATATATATATATATATATATGTATACATATGTGTATATATATATGTATACATATATATATATATATGTATATATATATATATATATATATATATATATATATATATATATATATATATATATATATATATATATATATATATGTATATGTTAGGGATGGCAACGGGGTGGGGCGGAGGCAGGGAGTACACCCCCCGTCCCCGTCCCCATACCCAACGGAGAATTGAAAAAATTTTCCGTCCCAGTCCCCGCGGGGAAGTTGGCGGGGACGGGGAATCCCCATCCCCGGTCAACCCATAGTCAATGTGTGAAAGTAATACAATTTTTAAAAATAAAAAACAAAAAAATTAAAATTCATAGTCAATATATTCTAATAATCTAATTAATCCAATATATACACATTCAATATTCACAATGCATGCAGTGTATACCGTAATAAATTTTCAATATATTTCAAATTTCAATTCACCATATATATACCGTGTTTGAATGGTTGAATAGTAGTTACTGTATTTTAAATTTTAATTTTAAAATATAATAAAACTAATTAACTAATAATCTAATTCCTAATTCCTTTTGTATATATATATATATATATATATATATATATATATATATATATATATATATATATATATATATAATTTTCCAGGACGGGGCGGGGAGGGGTATCCCCGTCCCCGTCTCCGTCCTCGGCGGGGATTTAAAAAATTCCCCATCCCTGTCCCCGTTCTTCGAAATTTTTCCTCGTCCCCGACTCTATCCCCTACGGGGACGGGGATCTTCAACGGGGACGGGGCACATTGCCATCCCTAATATATGTATACATATGTATATATATGTATACACATATATACATATGTATATGTATATGTGTATATGTGTGGTAGGATAAATCCCGATTGACTTCTCTACGTGTGCTTCGGCCTACCGCTGTTATTACAATTGTGGTTCTCCGTTCGATTTTTTGTCCCGGTTGTTCAGTCCGATATGCTCGGTCTTACTTTCCCGATCGCTATGCCTTGGCAATAATAACGACAAGAAGACACGTGTCAGTGAGAAGAACCGACAGAGGGATAGTACGACACGATGACACGTGGATGACGCGTGTGTTACATGCCGAGGAGGAGCGGAGCTATAAATATCCTTTGAGGGCTTGAGTAAAGGGACTTTTGGGAAGATTTGAGAGATTTAACCCAAAGTTGCCCGATCGCTTTCGATCGGTCCTCGAGTTAGGTCATTTAGATTGTCTTTAGGTCCACGTGTATTAACACTATCTTTTTGGCGCCGTCTGTGGGGATCGATACGAAAAGTCAGTAGTGACGCATACCATATTTCAATCATGTATCGTTTCATGTATCAACAAGAAGACGAAGAAGCTAGTTTAACCGATCAATATACACAACAAGGTCCGACTGTGGATCTCAATCTTATGTCTGGATATCAAGCCACACCCGGGCCGGTTAATTACATCCATCTCACGCCACAGATACCTTTCAAACCTATACAGTATCCAGCTTAGCAAATGCCCGGTCAACCTTACTCGTACTTGGGGATTCCGCAACCCGCGCCCCCTACTCATTAAGGATATTGGCCCGGTACCCCGGTGTATTACCCCTCCGCTCCCTATACACCACTTCCTACTGCTTACCCGCCGTCATCAGTCGCCCCTGCGTACACGGCTCCAGCTCCGCCTCCTCAGCACCCTACAATATCTCGGACTGAGTCTGGGTTGCGACCTGTTCCACAGGTCCATCACTCGGCTCGCTCTCGGTTGGGGTCGCAGGGGGTGGGGCCAAAGGCACCACGACAGGAGGAGGGACAACGACAAAGGGATGAACAGGTCACGCACGTGGTAGCAGATTCAGAGCCGCGTGTTCCGCGGGCAAGTTCTTTTGAGAGACTTCGTCCACCCATGCATCAACGCCTAGGCCCTCAAGATGCATATTGGCGGTCAGTTGAGTCACCCATGAAGCCCGTTAGTCATGGAGATTCGTCCTCGGAAGGGACTCGAGTGCCTCGTCGACGACGCGCCCGGGATAAAGTTCCGACCGCTGAACAGCTCGATGCGCAAGGATTTTTAAATGAAGTCAGACAGGAGTTTACTCGGTGGAAATGTGAACATGGGTCAGGCCCATCAGAAGCCACCACCCCGTTGTTACGAACACCCTTCACGAACGATATAATGGCTCAACCATACCTGTACGATCTACGCATCCCGGGTAATAAAGACTATGATGGGCGAACGGATCCAGAGGTGCACGTTGACTCTTATTACAGAAACATGCTGATGATGGGAGTTTCCGATGTTGTAATGTGCCGAGCCTTATATTCCACACTGACAGGGCGAGCAGCCGATTGGTTCCGAACGTTAGAGCCAGGGCCGATCACTTGCTTCGCTAGTTTGGCTACTAAATTTGTGCGGAAATTCGTCACCTCAAAGATAGTCTGTAAGCACTATATGTATTTGGAAAAGGCAAAGCAGTTAGAATGGGAGAGCTTGATAGAATTCCTGGGTAGATGGAAAATCGCCATTGGAGAAGTCGAACCCATGGACGATCTAACAGCTATTCACATGTTGCACACATCTTTGCGTGCTGGGGATCTTTACCAGGATTTTATTCTACATCCGCCCGGATCATACAAAGAAGCCTTCCAGCGGGTTACGGATTATGCCAATGCTGCAAAAAGGTCCCAGGAGGTTGGCTTGTCACACAGGTCTGCAGGACGGTCGGAGAACCGATCGACCGAGCAGCAGGCTAGGGGTCGGGGACGTCAGGGCGATTTCACACCCCTAAATCGCTCAGCTGCAGAGGCTCTGCACTATGCTCAATCGTGTAACCTCGTGAAATTGCCCGACTCCATGTGCGATGGCAAGGACAAAACCAAGCATTGTGCTTTTCATCGTTGTCAAGGTCATGACACGGAGGACTGCACCAATTTAAAACAGTTGTTGGAAGACTTGCTATAGGCTGGCAAGTTGGACAAATGTATTGGAGAAAGAAAAGAAGGCCAGCGCTCGGGAGGCCGAAGAGGATCGAGGCGATCAGACCACGATCGGAAGGATCCTGAACCCTACCCGGGGGCTCGCCCTTCATCTAAGCCAACCATTCAGGTGATCTTTGGGGGTCTGGAAGACGCATCCCGAGTCCTAGAACACTATCCGGTCGGTATAGTCGACTCCCATGAAAGTGGAAAAAGGCAAAAGATGGAACCGATCACCTTTACATTGGAGAATCAACCGGAGGCTGGTGATACGGGGATGGAAGCACTCGTTGTAACCATTGATATTATGGGGATTGATGAACAGAGGGTTATGGTTAACACCGGTAGTAGTGTAAATATCCTTTACTTGGACGTTTTCCAGAAGTTGAAACTGGACCCCATTGAATTGACTCCGATTGCGACTCCTTTGTCTGGGTTCACAGGAGATACTATTCATCCGGAAGGGAAAATCACCTTGCCAGTGGAGATTGGAACCCCCCAGGTCGGTCAAGACCCGAATGGAGTTCGTAGTTGTCAATTTACAATGCATTCATAATGCAATCTTGGGACGCCCGGCAATCATGAGGATTGGTGGTATTATATCAATGCCGCATTTATGCATGAAGTTCTCCACCCCGGAGGGAGTTGGAGTACTTCGAGGAGACATTCACTCGGCAAGAAAATGTTATTCCCGTGCAGTCAATAGGCGAGCAGTTCTCGAGTGAATACCATTGTGAAAGACGTAGAGAAGGAATAGAAAGAACAGCCGGAACCTTCTGAGGAAATTGAGGAGGCAATGCTTTTAGAAGATCGACCGGATCGGAAGGTAAAGATCGGTCGTGCTTTGACTCCGTCTTTGCGAGGAGAAATTATAGCCCTCTTGAGAGAGTTTGCTGACATATTCGCTTGGGGACCGGAAGATATGCCGGGTATAGATCGCACAGTCATTTGTCACCGGTTGGCTGTTGATCCTTCGTTCAAGCACGTCAAGCAAAAAACAAGACATCTGTCATCAGATCGAAGGAAGTTTGTTCGAGAGGAAATAAAGAAAATGGCAGCGATCGGTCATATACGACCTGTTACGTATCCCGAATGGGTAGCAAACATAGTGCTGGTCCCCAAGCCCCCGTCATGGCGCATGTGTATCGATTTCACTGACCTTAACAAGGCGTTCCCTTTGGACCCATATCCGTTTCCAAGTATTCACCAAATGGTAGATGAGACGGCTGGGGCGGAATTGATGAGTTTTATGGACGCTTTCAAGGGACACCACCAAGTCATGATGGTTCATGAAGATGAAAGTAAAACTGCTTTTGTGACTCCAGACGGTTTATACTGTTACAAGGTCATGCCATTTGGACTTCAAAATGCTGGAGCTACTTATCAACGGATGGTCAATATGTTATTCGAAAAATTGCTGGGTCGTACCATGGAGGCGTACATTGACGATATGCTTGTTAAGAGTCGAGACCGAGCCGATCATGCTCGGGACATTCGTCAGTGCTTCCAAATTATGAGAACGTATCAGTTGAGATTAAACCCTAATAAGTGCACGTTTGTGGTTGAAACGGGAAAATTTGTAGGGTTTATGATGACCAAGAGGGGGATCGAGCCGAATCCGTCGAAGGTTAAAGCGATACTCGACATGCAACCACCCACAACCGTCTGGGAGGTTCAGCAGCTTATGGGTTGTTTGGTCGCTTTAAGTCGATTTTTATTGAAGTTAGCCGAACGGTCATTGCCATTTTTTAAAGTGTTGAGAAATGCCGGTTGGCTTTTGAAGAATTGAAGGAATACTTGATGTCCCCGATTGTGTTATCTAAACCGGAACCACGAGAAGATCTGGAGGTTTACCTCGCTGTATCAGACCATGCTGTGAGTGCGATATTATGCCGAACGGATCACGAGTCGATGCAGCGTCCCGTGTATTACGTCAGTCATGCATTGCACGGTTCAGAACTCCGCTATTCCCGAATGGAAAAAGGCTGTCTATGCCTTATACATCATGGCAAAAAAGTTGGCTCCTTATTTCCAAGGTCGATTAATCCGTGTTTTGACCGATCAGCCCATCGGTGCCGTCCTCCGTACGGCTACTTCCTATGGCCGTTTGGTTAAATAGACATTGATGCTTACCCAATTTGCAATCGAGTACAAGCCTCGACCAGCCATTAAGGGTCAAGCCTTAGTTGATTTTGTTGTTGAATGCACCGCCCGAGAAATGCAGCCCCGGATCTTGGACGATCCCGATGCTGCTTGGTGGGCGAAAGCGACGGATGGGTCAAGTAGCAAGAGAGGTGCCGGAGGAGGGATCGTGATCACCAGCCCGGAAGGTTTCAAGGTTTATTATGCCTTGATGTATCAGTTTGCTCCAACCAATAATGAAGCCGAATACGAAGCTTTCATTGCCGGTCTACAGTACGCCCGGGATATGGGGGCTGCTTATGTTCGAGTACAAACTGATTCTAGTTTGGTTGTGGGACAAGTGTTAGGGGAATACGAGGTTAATAAAGATCGTTTGCTCTCGTATCGTGATTTGGCATTAGAGAAGTTAAGTTATTTTCGTGCGTATGCTATTCGATATGTCCCGCGTTTAGATAACGCTGATGTTGATGTGCTTTCAAAGTTAGCTCAATGCTCCCGAGCATATCTCCAAAATTGCCGGAATCGTGATGGTCCCAGTGCCAAGTGTCAATCGGATACCGGTTGCCTCTATTCAAGATGGCGAGGAAACATGGATCGCAGATATCATAGGATATTTACAAGATGAGCGTTTACCCGATGATTCGCAGAGAGCAAGAAAGACTAAACTTCGAGCGCCTAGATTTCAGGTGTTGGACGGTCGCCTGTATCATCGATCATACGGAGGGCCGTTGATGCGTTGTTTGACAAAATTCGAGGCGGAACTCGTCATGAACGAGTTACACTCCGGATTGTGTTCATCCCATCAGGGGGTCGATCTTTGGCACGTCGCATCATGGTCATCAGATATTATTGGCCATCGATACAGTTAGACTGTGAGAAAGTTGCAAAATGTTGCAAAAAAATGCAAAAGATTGTGAGGGTTGCAAAAATAAGGGTAAGATATGTAGACTGTCATCAAGAGATGATCAAAAAAAGTTGAGTGTATGAACCTGAATGATGTCATGAGCTCGGCATTCGGCGACCTAGTTGGGTGTACAGCCTCGCAAGTTGTCCTCAGCCGGAAGCAGGGCGTTAATCCTGGACACAAGCGAGCTCGCCGGACCTCCGCTCGTCAGAGCCTCGATCAGTGGAGTATCCGGTGGGGAGATCGCTTGGCGTCGGCGCTTGAGCGACACCACTTCTTCTCCATCACTCCCCGTAGCTTTGTCTTTACCTTTTTTGTCGGGGACTCGAATGGTTTGTAGCTCGGCTCCTAAGCCGTGAGAAACGCCCACCTCGGGTACTAAAGTAGACGTTCCGAGGGCACGCTCGGTCGAGACAGCCGGGACAGTGCTTTCTGTTGTGGAGGTCGGTGGCCCGGTTGACTACTTTTTCCCGAGCGTTACCTTAGCTCGGGGGGCTCGGTTGATACCAGATGCTGGAGTGGAAAATCCACGACCCGGACCCATACCTGCAGAAATGAACAAAAGAGTATTACAAATCAGAGGATTTGTACTGTAACAGACTCGGGTAGCATGATAAAAGGTAACCTTCATTGATCGGGATGCTCGATTGCGAAAGTATAACGGCCCTCGCAGTTGTAGGCCGCGGCATATACTTTAGTTCTAGATCGTATCATGGAGGGGGTAGCCGAGCGTTGTCGTAAGCCTCCCTCGTCCGAAAGTATTTGTACTCGTAATATTCACAGGAAATACGGGAAGTGGTTTCTTGGATGGCCTGGGTGGGTGGAGGTTGAACTTGTTTTCTAAAGTGCGAGGCCCAAGTCCTCTCGACCGGCAGGATCTAAGGCTCGTACTTAATCGAGAAGATCCTGTTCTTCCACCCTCGGTTGTTTCCCGCGAGATCTGGGATCGAGCAAAGATGCTCCCAGGATTGTGCCATCAGAAACCCCCCCCCCCCCCCCCCCCCGTACTTAGCCGCAAGAGGTTTTACAACATAAATAAAATTGAACAACTCCATTGTGCACACCGCATTATGTCGGGAGAAAATTTGGGGAAAGCAGGCAATAATTCGGTGGGTGTTCGGGCAAATTTTCCCCGGTAACACCTGGTAGTAGCCTAAGAAGGCGGTCAAGAAGGGGGAGAAAGGAAAAGTAATCGGGGCCTTCAAGGAGTCGTAGTGAAGACCGATCCATTTGCCTCGATGGCGTTCTTTGATTCCACCGGATGACCTTCTAGTATCGAACGCCACTCGACCGTTCAAAAGGGCTGCAATGTCTGATGCCTCCCTGGTTGTCAGCAAGCATTTCTGCCGGTCGACGCTTTCGCTGTTGAGGAAGACCATTTCTACCTCCTCTTCAATCGCGGTTGGAGCGACCTCTGCAGCGGCCCCGGATAAGGCTCCCACGGAGCGAGGCGGTTGATGGAGACCGGGCCCAATCCCTAGAGTTCGGGTAGGCGTTTCGGTTCATCAGGTGCTAATGAGGCATTCGATGGTCTAGAGGTTTCCTCTTCGCCATTAGTTGATTCCTCAGAGTGTTCGGAAGCTTCCGTCGCTTCCTCGATCGCAGGGGATGGTCGAGCGCTCACTTAGGGGTGAGTAAAATATCGGTTAACCGCTAACCGAACCGACCGAAAAAATCGGTTATCGGTCGATTACGATTATTAATCTTAAATTTTTTTTTTTGATTTTTCGGTTTTTTGGTTATTTTGCGGTTATTAGACTCGGTTATCGGTCGGTGACCGATAACCGACATATAATATTATATATTAATATTATACTGCCAAAGCCCAGAGGCCCAAATGTCATTAAGCCCATACATTGAGAATTGATAACTTATTCCTAAAATAACTCTAAAGGCTAAAATGTAAAATTCCTAAATCCCTAATTAATCCAAATGCCAGT